ATTTTCTGCCACCATGAACTGCTGCTCTCTGCCATGTACCCCTCTGCCTTAGAGCCTGCTGATGACAGATTGAAATCTTCTCAAACTGTGAGCTAAATAAAACTTTCCTCCCTTAATTTTGGCTGTCAGGTGTTTTATCACAGAAATGAGAGAAAGGTAATCGAGGAAATATTTAAAAGAAACATGTAACTGAATTTTCCTGTACCCATTTTCATTGCCATGAATGTCCTTCTTTGAGTGGTGGATGATACCCTAAACAGGACAGGCTGATCTGAACAAAACACGACCATGAGCGGCGGAAGTGGAAACTGATATTTCCTGCGAGAAAGCATGAGAACACAATGAATGACTTGAAGGGGCAAAGCAATGAACAGAAACTTCTATGTATGTGGGTTGAAGTAACAGCAAAAAATAGAGGTGGACTCTGGATGTTTGGAAAGTTGAAAGTGTTGAAAAAATAAATTATACAAATCAACTTTTGGATTCAGAGCCCCAGGACATTTATTTATACTGATGCCCTTGACTCATTGCTAAGAAATACGGGTGAACTGTTTCAGTATTCATACGTGGATAAATTTAGTTCTGGTGTGAACTTGCTTTAAAGTTAGCTGTGATTTGGAGACACTATGCTTATTTTATCCTTATTCATAAATGTATACTCTTTTTTCCCTTTATTTTTTAGCAATTTATTTCATTTATGTTTTTCCTTTTTTTCTCCTTTGTTATTATTTTGTGTCAGTGTGTGTAATGATCACCTTTATTGCAGGGAGTGGCATGTGCATCTCGCATAATGTATCTTTATTCTTTTCTGTTTCCTCTTCCTCTCATCTCTCAGTGCTACCTTCAGTTTCTATTTCCCTTATCTGAATAATAGGACCTTTCTTTGAATGCCAAAACATCTATTTCTTCTGCCAGAGGGGAACTTACAGAGCCGTTCTGCAGACAAGACACTCAGGCCTGGGCAGCGAATTGTATCACTGGGAATCACATGGAGAATAGCAGCAACACCACGCAGCACCCACCAGGTGTCAAGCTCTGTCCCCGGAGCTGGGAACATCCACCCACTACTTCACAGTGGAACCTATCAAACCAGTACTCTCCTGTCACCTTATCCATTTTTCAGTGGAAAGAGAAGACCCAGAGAAGTGAAGAAATATCTTAAATGCAAGAGCAGGATTTGAACCCATGTCTCTGTGCTCAAGGTTTTTTTAAATTTATTTATCATAGCATATTTTTAATCAAAGTGGAGAGGGCAGGGAGAAAGACCTATTCATTCTGAAGATTATGTACATGGGGTGGGGATGTAGCTCAGTGGCACAAGCACCTGTCTGGCAAGTACAAGTTCCTGAGTTTCATTCCCAATACCAATGTGTAAGGCAAAAAACTGAGTATCTGAAGGAACTTCTCTGGAGTTATCTGTCTCACACACGCAGTGAGAACATGTTCACTGTAAATAATTTGAGAACCTCTTAATTTGGCTGATCAAACTCAAATAATTATCTCCTCCAGGGACATGCTTAAAATTATTTTTTCATAAGGTTTAGTCTTTGAAATTATGCAAATAGACTTGAAATTGAAATATAAAAATAAAAGGAAAAAACTAAACCTCCACTGGGCTTAAGAAGTACTCAAGCATCTTGAATCTAAAAGAGATCACAAGGAAATATATTCATAAATTTATAATAGTGAGCACTTAAGATTAAATAAAAATGTAAAAAAGAATTGATCAAGGTATAATTTTAGTAACAGTTAAACATTGAGCAAAATTTCTAAATTACTTTCTAGTGTCCTCAAAGAACATTACAGTTATGTCTTTTACTTAGTAAACAATAATTAAATTTTAGAATATCTAAATACTCTACCTAAGTATTATCATCTAAGGGCAAGAATTTTAGAGGAAAGAAATTTCACTTATGTTATGACTCCTGTACACTGACTTGAAACCTTAAAGGATTTATACAGCTTCAGTAGAAATGGACAAGGACTGGCTAGATAGCTCAGCTGACTAATCGTCTGCCTAGGCAAGTGCAGAGACCAGGGTTCAATCCCTGGTCCCGCATGCCATGCTGGCCCAACCCTGAGCACGCTGAGCTGGCCACTGAGTCTGGGCGTGGTGATGCACGCCTATAATCCCAGAGCTGGTGAGGCTAGACAGGAGGAACACTATGAGTCTGAGCTGTGGAGGGAAACCCTGCACCAAATACATAAAAAACAGAACAAAATGAAAAAATAATAGCAGCTGACACCACAGAGAGCCTTGCACATTTGACAAAGCCTTGAGAAGTAAGGGTTTCCATAAACTAGGAACCAAGACTTCTTAGGGTGCAATATGATGTATTAATATAATTGCATACTGTGAAAGCTGTAAGGGTTTGGTCTGGGAAATCTTTGCACTTTCTCTTCTAGGTTTAGTAGAGCCCTTAGACAAAGCAGGGCCAGGACTTAGCCAGGGCTGCGAGGTATCTGCCTCCAACTTCCACGTCAGCGCAAAGCAGCTGGAGGGCGCCATGGCCTGAGGGACAGGTCAGGAAGATGCACTGCCCACCAGGCACACGTAGCATCAAACTTCTCATGGCTGTCTTGTAATACTGTCTCATGTCTTGGTTTAGAAAGTTAATGAAGGGAAAAAGAAAGAATACAGGCTCCTAGAAAAAGAAGAGGGGTCAGCTTGGCCATAGGAATGTAGGCCGATGTTAAGGCAAATACAAGAACCAAAAGGCAAATGCTCTCTGAACAAAACACATAATCATTTGCTTTAATTTTAAATGCAATTACTGTGAAAGCCATCATCGTTCAAGTGCCTATTCTTTTTTAAAAATTTTTTATTTATTTTTTTAAAGTGCCTATTGTTTTACATAAAAATCTTTGCTGATATTTTCTTTCAATTTCATATTATAAGATGTTTACTGCTTTCATAGTTTTTTAAAAATGTATTTGGTACAAGGTCTCACTACACAGCTTGAACTTGTAATCCCCCTGTTTTCAGCCTCCCCAGCACTGGGATTACAGGAGTGCAGCACCACATCCAGTCTCTGTGGCTGGCTCAGTGCACCCAGTGGCGGGGAATACTTTGGTTTTATAACTATTTATTTATTAGACTTTTCCATAGTTATGTTTCATAAGAACATGCAATGACATACACCAAGAAATATTTAAAACATACTAATGTTTCTTTGTCCTCCTTTCCCATTTCCTGTTTGATAGAATGCCTACTGAACAATCATAAACTTTATACTTGATAAAACCTTAAAGGTAAAAGTACCCTTAGGCTAATATACTCTACTCATTTTAAAAATAAATGGCTGAAAATCTCTACTTGAATTGGTACTGAATTCAAACAAAAGGTTTTTTTCCAAACGAAAATAGTGAAGTATATGGAAACCTGATTTTATACCTTTATTTGCAGATATGTGTCATTAAAATCTCTGTCGTAAACTTTCACATCTTTTATAGCAATAATATATAACATGCTTTTGAACATGTGATATTTAAGTTGACAAAACAAAAGTTATAGAGCTGAAGGTTATAAAGCTGGAAAGAAATAAAAGCGCAATGCAACAGAAGCACTTTCCTATAAATCAGAAACAGGGTCACTTACTGAAAGCAATATTTAAAAATGAGACTTAAAATTCATCTGTTGATGAATTTGGTGCAATGAAGAGATTCTGAAGAAGGCCTGCTGTTCAGGCAACCCCCACCGCAAGCTTGCATTCACTCCTTTGATGACAGGTTCTCAGAACACTTCTTGAGTTCCTGCAATTTACTTTATGTACTAACTCTTGAGACGAGTTGGCCATTTATTTTTGAAGATCTCAAATCACAAACAGTTTCCAGAAAGATATTTATCCTCACAGGGGCGCTACTGAAGGGATGTGGGCAGAAACCAGACTTAGCTCTCCTCCCTCTAGATTTCAAGTTTCCTTGCACTTTCTGGTCTGCCCACAAGCGTGGTGCAGATTCTCTGTGTGACCCTAAAGTGCAGCACCAGGGGATGAAGGAAGTCTCCTGAATGGTTTGGCCCCTCTAAGACAAAGCTGGGGCTAGCAGTCCTTATTCTAGGGGCATTCCAGCAAACGTTTTCAGTGCTTTCAGTCCATCTGGACAGACTCTTTCTTTGTTTGCTGCCAGCTTGTCTAAGTCTGGTTCTGCAGCTCATCTGGTTCTGATATACGGCCAGGGTGAACAGCTCCTGGGCCAAGCACTGGCATTTCTTAATACTATGCTTTCAATTTTAGTAGCTACAGGAACTCCTCTATCTCATGCCAAGTTTATATTTCATCTATTTATATGGACTGCTTCTAAGTGAAAGCTCCAATTTCTGAATGGACACGTGCTTTTATGAACAAGGTAGAGCTTTCTATTTATATGGCTTAATTTTGAGCATTTTAAATTCAAATCATCCAGATATTTATATTTTCTAGTATTTGTACTGTTTCCTCAGCTTTGTCTTTTTCAGGGATTATTTCTGCATTCTTACCCAACTATGATAAATATGCTGATGGGGTAGAATCCAGAAAGGCGTTCTGGAGCAGTCCAAAAGAGAATTTACTCTGCAGTGACAGGCCATTTGGGGAGGGACAGGAAAACACTTTTGAATCTGCCCTTTCACACCAGAGCTGCCAGTTCCCCGTTCAATTTAAAAACACTTCAGACTGTTTTGGCGTTGGCTTCCAGGAAAACAATTTACCACCGTACACTGAGGCTGGCAATTCCTAGTAATATTTTATAAGACATTTAACAGTGAGGTAATTGTCATATGAAAGTTTTTCATGTGATTCCTAATCAAAATTCTGCTTCAAAGCATACTTTAAGAGGATTAGAAAAAAAATCTCTTTTATGGGATTATATATCTTCAATGTGTTGAGTCCCATGTGTCAATGCATATATTATTATCTTAAAAAATAGCTACTTTTGAAGGGACACTTCTAATATGCAATACATTTCCGTGATTACCGTGATAATATATTTTTAGAAATGAATAAAAAAAATGAGATTCTTACCCCAAATCTTGGGGTCTCTGGTGGAGCGCGAAGTCAAAGAGTCAGTATTCACAGTAACAAGTGGAATGAGTCTGGTTTTATAACGATCCACCTGTGTATCATTCTCTGAAAAACAAGTATGGCAATTAAAATGAGAGCAGCTTCATAATTTGTATTTGTATACCTGAAGCAAAGCACAACAGCCATTTGAAGAAGAGTCCTACAAATTTTTGTCACATTGCTACACTAGATTTGCAAGTGGTGAACTTATATATGTATGTTACGAACCAATAATTCCAGGAGAGACTTTGTAGATCATGGTCAACAATTTCTAGCTGTTAATATTTAAATTGCTCCTTTAAGTTATACAAGCAGATAAAATGGGTTGATTTCAAGAGAATATTTCTACTTCACTATTTGCCCTCAAATTTTTATAAGAATAGAAATTTCAGGAAACCTACCATTATGCCAAAATTGTACTACAGCATTCTGAGGAAAGGAAATGAAACCTGGTAAATCTGAACATTCTCTAAGATGTCTTATTTGTAAAAAGATGCAAAGAACATGGAAAATGAACCTACCTGTGTCCTGACAGGTACTCTTGCATTCTTCCAAAGATTCAAAGTTGTTCAGGTTGCCTAGGCATCCCCCATATATGAAAGGTTCACACTGTCTTGACTGGTTGTTATAAAAATACCTGGTAATATAAGCTCGACAGATTCCAACATCCTCTTCCAAAAAGCATAAATCTGGCTTTCCTGAAAATTATCATAGTGTCATCAAATTATTTTCCTTTTTGGTAAATTATTTACTTACTTAATTAAATATATAAATATCTATTTAATGGTTAAATATGACAAATTCAAAAGTAATAACATAGCTTGAATGGAATTTATACAAAATCACAATTATCTATAGTATTTAGAAAATGAAAACATTAGTGTCACAAATTTTTATAATTCGCATTTTCAACTTCTACATATGATAAATAAATAAGGGATTCACTCTCAGATTTTTTTCATGAACTGAGTAAATAAAAGAAAGTAATCTACTTTGTCATGTGCTACCCAGGAAATACAAATATTATGGCAATTTTTGGTTTAGTAATTAACACAGAGCTTGTAGTAAGACAGTTTATGAACACTTCGTTATTGAAATCTGAGAATTCTTGGAGAAAGCAGTGCTGTATGTTCTTTATTAAGAATGGCTTCAACTTCAAAATTTGTAAGAGATTTGAGAAGCATGGAAGCTTTCATGGCTATTCTTAGAAGTTCCTGAATTCTTTTGTATGCTAGAATTAATATCTGTCCTAGGTATGATATCCTCTCCTAGTTATTTTCTTCCAAGTATTGGAATGAGTCCATCGGCACAGAGGCAGAAAGGAAATACACGTTCAGGGACCAAAAGGGCCTTTGCAGAAGGCCAACGGCATTTCTTTGATAGCATTCCAAACCAGGCTAAACATAGCTGTCACTAAAGCTGTGATCCTGTGATCTACATTCAAGGGTGTGATCACGCATGCGCCTTAAAGGGAAGTGAACCAATTGTCAAATGTGCTGTAATCACAAGAATTATCGGGCTTGAATATTTTGCGCAAAGCTCCAGTTTGTATATTTTTCCATGATGTATTTATACCACACTCTCTTTGTCCACTTACCTGTTTGTGAACACCTACGTTTCACTCTGTGTCTTGGCTGTTAGAGATAAAGCTGCCATAGAGTGCAGGAAGGTATCTTCTCTGGTATTCATTACATTTCCCTTTAACATGCGTCTCATATTTATCAGACTGCTGGATTATATAGTAGCTCTATCTTTAACTTTAAATTTCTGAAAACCTGTTTACTGTTTTCCATAAGGAAACAAATGATTCCCACCAACAATGTTTCCTTTGTCTTTTGGAGAAGCCATTCTCACAGGAGAGAATTTCTATTGCACTTTTTATTTGTTTGGTAGTTCCTTAGTGATTAATGCTGTTGGGCCTTCTTCATATATGTATTTTGCAATGTGAATATTACTCCAATTTGCAATTAAGTGTAACAAGCAAAATAATAAAAGCTTTACGTGTTCATAATGCCTTTTCTAAGAGAAAGAAAATTTAGTGAATTCCCGCCATTTAAATTTGTTTCAGTTACCATGCACTTCCAATTACAATTTAAGTAATTTAACAAAGAAATTTTAGATGCAACAAAGGTGAGAGAGAAAAAAATATTTCATACAGTGAGCAAAAATGATAAAATTTATGCTGATCTGTATAAGTCATAAATTGGAAGTTGTAATTGTTTAAATAAGACCCCAGTACTGGACACAAATTTACTTTAGCAAGAAGTTGAAAATGAACATTTTTGAAAGAATTCACTGCGTGATCAAAATTTAAAATATGGTTCCAAGGCAAGAAGCTAGCTTCCTGTGTCTTTGGATACACTGCCATGCTTCTGAGTTAGCATGCACACTCTTCCTCTAAGCTGGTGCTTAGGGTTGGGTAACACCCAGTGCGGACTCTAAGCCTACACCAGTTGTCATGGGCCATAGATTTTTAATGCTACTTTTCACGTGGGCCTGCATACTGGAGAACTGCCTGTGAGTAAGTTTTCCCTCCAAAGGATTGTTATGTCTATTGTTCTTACAACCATTATAGCATAGCACTAAAGGTCCCTTCAAGTTGACAGAAGACTATTTGGGATTTGTTTTAGCACATACAGGCTTTTTTTTTTTTTTTTTTCCTAGTGGGGGAAGTGTCTACAGAGTCTTGCTATGTAGATCAGGCTTGTAGTCATAATGATCCTTCTGTTTTCAGCCTCCCAAGAGCTGGGATTACAGGCATGTGCCACCATATCCAGTCTCAATCGCTGTTTCAGTGTGCCCCAGGGGCAGGGCCAGCATGGTTAGCACATACAGTTTTAACACACTTGAACAGAACTTTATTTTCTAATTTCCAATGAAGAATGAGTGGTTTTTAAATTCTTATGCCTTTCTCTTTCTCTCTTTATTTCTATCTCTGTCTCTATCTCTATCTCTATCTCTATCTCTATCTCTGTTTCTGTCTCTATCTCTTCCTCCAGCTCTACCTCTCTTTCCCTATCATCTCTGTCTCTGTCTGTCTGTCTACCTATTGTCTCTATTTGGTATTGAACATTTTGCTCAAAGCTACATCTCAGACTTTTCCCTAGCTTTTATTTTGAGAATGAGTCTCATTGAACTGACCAGTTGGTCTCAAACATGAGACCTTTGCTTCCCACTCACCTCCAGCTTAGATATATAATTTGTAGCATAATTTACCATAAAATTTTAATCTATATACATTTTCTAATTCTGTTTCTGGAGAAAAGAATGCCTATACCTTATACCTTATAATGCCTATACCTTAATACCTAATATCTAGACCTTCATACCTATATTGGTACATTCTTTCCTGATAATATCTCTTTTCTGTGGTGTACAGAATCCCCTTAAGAATATATATTCCTTAATAATGTTAAAATTTCATTTAATTCATATGAGAAACATTTTTGTCCAGATTAATTATTTATAAGTAGCTAGTTTTAAAAATATTAAATATCACACATATTTGCTTGCTTTGTAAAAACTTGGTTGCTGGATTTGCTTTTCATATTTTGATTCAAATCCTGGCCACTAAATAAAGCCTTAAAATTAAACTGAATAATGAAAAATTTCAACTCTTTCCCAAAGAGTAAATCAAAATAAATAAAATCATTCTGAATGTTATAATACCTGATGTCTTTAGTTAAGTAACTTGATATCTCAGATTAGTATTTTCTCATTTAAATATAATTTCCAGAGCTGATAATTGGATCAAAGCCTTTATTGAGAGATGTTTGGTAAGAAGTACCACCCCAGTAAATGATGTTGACAAAGAGGATAATCTGTCAAATATCTCCAATAATATTTGAATATAGAACAGTCAATAACTCAAACACATACATCGGCTCAGGGCAATATTGGATAAAATTTGCTAAAGCCACACAATACTGACACTAACCAGGGGTGAAGCAACAGAGGTAAAAAAATAAGACTAGTCAGTCTCCCTCACTATGTAGAAGCTCTTAAGTAGCCCGTGTACCTTTGGCCTGAGGGATCTAGCGCTAAACCCCGCGCTGTGCTGGGGTGAGAGCAAACAGTGGCTGGAAGCGCCTCTTGCTAATCTCGAGTATGTGCTTGTCAGTTTTCATTACACCCACTAGAAAAAAAATCATTTCAAATATCATATGCCTTTATGATCAACCCCATAACTGTAAGAGAAAAGCCTAGAATTTTCTAGAATATCTAGGTGCCTGAAATAAATTCTGCTCACAGGCACAGAAATGAACATTTACCTTTTTCCAATGTCGACTTCGTCAGTGGCGAATACTCTGCAACAAAAAAATAAATAAATATGCATATCAATGTCTGGAATTTATAATGTAATATCAGTTTCAATTTAACAAATTAGGAGCATGTATCCATTGTCATTAAAATTATTCATATACAGAATACTTTAGTGAAATTGAATTTCTTATATTCTCCAAAGATTGTTTAATTACTTTAACCACAAACGTACTTCACTTATAGCAACAAATTTACTTTTTAATTTATACAAAAAGCATAGAGCTGGAAGTGGTAGTGCACTCCTGTAATCCTGGCACTCGGGAAGCTGAGGCAGGAGGGTCATTGTGACTTTGAGACCAGTCTCGGCTACAAAGTGAGCTCAAGCCCTGCCTGAACTGCACAGTGAGGCCCTGTCTTAAAAACGACAAAAAACAAAACAAAACAAAACAAGAAAAAACAGCATAATGTTGTAGATATTAATGGGGCAGAAGGTGATGTGCTGATGCATGTATGTGCTGTATGATGTTTAAATGAGGTTAAACATCTCTAACCTTTCAAACATTTATCAATGCCATCTGTAATCACCTTACAGTGTCTAACTATAACTGAATATTAGTCTCTCCTTCTGGAAGCTTATTTTTCTCACACATTGTTCTGCAAACTCCAACTACTTCTGCCTCCCAGTCTTCACCCCCATTTCCTTCAGGTATCCTGTAGCAGTGCTAATGAATTCCCCTGCCTTCACTGGTCCAGAGTGATGCCTGCACAACGTAGGAACCCCAGGGCTCACCTTTGGTATATCTTTCTTCTCTGAATTACAATCCTGCACTAACTATTAATCCATGTCTGAAGCAATCATCAATACATTGTGCTTAGATTCTTTTAGATATTTATATAGGAAAGACAGTCTAGTTCTATTTAGTCCATCATGGATACAGAAAGAATTTTCTCTTTAAGTGATTTTTTAAAAAGTCTAGCTGTCTTACCTTATTAGAAACGAAAACACTGATGTTCATGCAATAATATGAAATAGACTTTGAACAGATAATATGAAGATGGAGATGAGCTCAAGGATTTACATTTGTTTATAGTCAATAATGATATTCAAAGATGCCATAATTAACCAGGTGTAAGAAACATAATTTTTCTTGCACAGTGTTGAAATAGGAGGCATTGAATTATTAAAGAAAGAAGAAATGGGTATACATTGCAGAGAAGAAGCCAACTGATGAAAGTAAGTAGACTACTAAAAAAAGCAGGATAGCCCAGCAGACTAAAGTGCCTCCTTAGGCAAGCTTAGGCAAGCTCAGTGACCATGGTTTGATCCCTGGCACCACATGCTACACCAGCCCTGTCCCCAGGGTGGGCTGAGGCAGCCAGAGTCCAGGCATAGTGGTACACACCTGTAATCCAGCAATGGGGAAGCTAAAAGCAGGAGGATAACCATGAGTCTGAGATGCATAGGTGAGACTCTGCAACAATGAAATAGAGAGAGAGAGAGAGAGAGAGAGAGACAGACAGACAGACAGAGACAGACAGAGACAGAGAGACAGAGACAGACAGAGAGCCAGAGACAGACAGACAGAGAGAGAGACAGACAGACAGAGAGAGAGACAGAGACAGAGAGAGAGACAGAGACAGAGAGATACAGACAGAAAGGATTGTGAAGAATTAGCCAACTAGGATTTTAGTCAAGGCACTGAAGACTAAGAGTGATTTTCCACTCTAAAAAAGGACAGTTGTCCCAGCATGTGTGAAAAATGTAGGGTATAGAAATCTGGGTGAAGGGAGAATGACTGGTCAACTCCACCCATGTCCACTGAGAGCCTCATCTATGGAGGGCAAAGGAAGGAAGTGCTCTGAAGTTACATATATGCCTGTCAGCTCTCCTCTGTCAGCTCTTACAACAGGGCCTCTCAGAGACACACAGCAGAGACATTGCCCTCTTCACCACCCTGAGACCTTTCCTGAAGTCCAAGGCTACCACAGTACCGAGACAGGAAGAGCTAAACAGTTTTGGAAAGAGTGAGAAAGGACAGCTGCTCACTTTGCAAACAGAAAAATGACAATAAGCAACAAAAACAACAAAGAAACCACAGTATCTAGAGTTACACATGAAAGATGTCATCTCTGATGGACCATACTTTGATTAGACCAATCCCGAGAACTTGCCGCAAGGAACGCTGGGAAAGTAGATGCTAGAGAATTAAAGGTGACTCAGATTTGCCTCTCAACTCGCTCACAAGTCAGAAAAACAAAGTGGAAGAGGACACCCAGAGTTTTCATATTATTAGCTGGGGAGTCTTGGAGAGAAGTCTCAGACTCTTTGTAGAGAGGACAGCTCTGGGGTCACTGTGTTGACAAAGGCCAGAGAAGCCCACCTGACAACCCTTTCCTTGCTGACCCACCGCTGCCAGAGAGGCTAACTTACACTTCTGTCACAAATCTGTCTTGTGCACTTGAGAACTTTTCTTTGTTCTTTGTTATGAAAAGAAGGGGACAACACAAAAGGCTTAATAATTTTAGAATAACATACACGGAACAGTTCAAAACAGTACACAGCACGATAGCTGCACTTGTGGAGCAGAACAAGATTAACTGAGACCATCAACGCGGCACTTCATTACTGTTCCCTAAACGCATTAAATTCAGGATTAGGCCTGGTACCACCAAGGCTGTGAGGTGAGAAACCCACCTCTTATGCATGTTTCTTTGCATTCCTGCACAGTCAGAAACTGATTCTGGTTTCCTATGCACCCTCCATATATAAATTCTTCACACTGGCCGGTGAAGATGTTGTAGAAGAATCTCTTTATCATCGCCTTGCAGGGGCCGTCTTGAGCTCTCATCGCGCAGAAAGTGAACGCCGGCTTCTTGGACTCCCAGTCGGTATTCTCTAGGTAAAAGTTAAAACATAAAGGTAACCCTCCAACAACACTGTAATAAGGTCCTTTTCAAAAATTTCATTTCGGGGCTGGTGAGATGGCTCAGTGGACTAAAGCACCTACTTAGAACAAGCTAAGCTTAGCAAAGCACAGGGACCGCGGTTCAGTCCCCAGCACCACATGCTGGCAAGCCCCGCCCCCTGGTGGGCTGAGCTGGCCACACACACACACACACACACACAATAAATAAATAAATAAAATACCTATTATATAAAGAGGAAATACATAAAATATTTTTTTTAAATTTCATTTCATTTTTAATATGTCCTGATCTTAAGAAAATTATATCAGCAACAAAATGGGCTCACAGGAACCCATGGACAGTTAATTTGTTATAAAAATGATCTAGTAAATAAATTCACCAAGTTAAACCTGTTGCTATTTTTTTCTTTTGATCAACCACAAAAGTTTACTGTCATGAGAGAAAAAATATCAAATAATTTTACTAGACTATTTAATAGCTATTACTTAAATGTGATCGAGATGGAATTGAATTTTTGCTGTGAGGAACCCCCACTCAAGTGACTGTATCTACATTATAGTGAGGTGAAATCTTTTCATTTCAGCAGTTTTAGAGGTAGATGCTGATGAAAAAATTTTTGGACCCTTCTCTGTAATGTAGTTATTTTTTTTTTACACGTAAATGTTTTTAAAGACAAAAGTACATTTGCACACACACACACACACACACACACACACACACACACAGACTGCACAAATATATCAATACAAGTGCTGGGCGTGGTGGCACATGCCATAATCCCAGCCATCTGAGGGCCTGAGGCGGGGAAACTGCAAGTTGGGGAAGAGCCTGAACTGCTTGGTGCTACCTTTGTCTCGAAACAAAAAGTAGAAAGGGCTGGAGGTGTAACAGCGGAAGGGGCTTGCTGAGCAGGCAACCCAAGGCCCTGGGTTCCCGCCCCTCGACAAAAAGATGCATCTAAATATATGCAAACATACATAACTTGCAGTGTTTATGTTACAGGATGAATAATTATGTTGCATTCTTTAAGCACCATCATTTGTGTTTAATAATGCTGAAAAACCTTAATCAGTGCTGATTTGAATAGCGTGAGACAAGTCTTCTCACCATGAGTTACTCATTTCTAATCTAAATATTCAGGGAACTCTGTTATTTAGAGAACTTTGTCTTGTTGTGGGACGTGATATGCACATTGAGGAAATACTTTTATTATAATTTTATTAAGCAGTAATATTAATTAAGGCCTAAATTTTAAACTGTTGCATTCATTTCCAGAAATTACAAGTAAGATAGACTGCAAATTTTACTTGTTGATGGGTAGTTAAGGAGATGGTGGTTAAATTGTGTAATCTTTTGGAAAACAGGAATTGATTCAGGAGCTCCATGTACAAGATGATGATTCAGCTAATAGTGTATTTAATGCTTGAAAAATGCTGAGACTGGACATAAAATGTTCTCATCAAAAGGTGGTAACTACATGCTACAAATCATACGGCAATGAGCTAGGTTTAGTCTTTTCATTTTGCATATAAGCTTTCAAACCTGCGTATGTGCAAACACACAATCTTCTCTGTCAGTTAAAAAAGAGCTGAAAGTATAAATGAGTGAAAAACGGCCGCTGCAGCTTGAATAGTGTCTGCACATGCTGAGTCCGCGTAATTTCTACATCTTTGAGTATTGATATTCCGCCTGCAGGGCATTTAAACCTTCAAGTTCTCTAAACTAGTTTATCCGCTAGAGGGCAATAGTATTCTACTAGATCCAAACCAGTCTAAGACTTCAGGTCGCAGCTTTAAGATACTACGAAATGAATGTGTGGCTTTTTTTTTTTTTTTTTTTTGTACTGGGAATTGAACTCAGGACCCTGCGCTTGCCAGGCAAGTGCTTATTTTACTGAGCTATCTCCATGGCCCCAAATGTATGGCACTTTAATGTTTTCATATAAAAAATATTAAAGTCAAACACTAAATCTGTGAGCCTACAATGACCTGGGAGTAAATGCATTACATTTTGTGTAACTTCCAAACTTTTAGGTGAATTTCTGAAAGAATGCCTACATATAAAAATCAGATTAGAAACTTTCTTGCTCATTCTTAATATTTTACGATCCCGGGGCTGAGGAGATAGCTCAGTAGAACTAGTGCTTGCCTGGCAAGTGCAAGGGCCTGAGTTCAGTCCCCAGTTCTTAAAAAAAAAGAAAAAAAAATAGAAAAAAAAATTCTGATCCCAATGATTATATTAATATCAAATAATAACCATATCTTATGAATTCTAAAACTATAAGACACAGAGATCAAAATGCTGCCTTTTAGTTTTGTACGAGACATAAAATCACAGTCTTGGCAAACTTGGATTTAAAATGTTGCTCTCCGTATGAAACTTGACAGTTGGGTGCTGGATGACTTACGTGACACAATCTCTGGGCATGCAAATTTTATCACAACTAGTGACTCAACATCTAATTTGAAAATGTGAATTTAATGTACAAAATATAACATTTTTTGATCTATTTGATAACTGCATTGACTTTTTTCAGAGTCCAGAGTGCTAACCACTACGTCATGGAACCTCCTCAACATTGACTTTTTTCAGCTGGAGAAAAGTGATCTGACAAACATGATACACAGTCCATTTTTCAGACCAAGAATTTGATAAGGTACAACAAACATACGGAAGATAACTGTAATAAGGGGGCACTTTAGTACCACTGTGAACTGCTTAATTAGCAAGTTATAGTAATCAAATTTTAACAAAAGTTGAACTTCAGGCATGTTGGCATTGGTATGTTACCAGCTTTCTCTCACATTATATTCAGTTGGCAAAACAAAATTTCCAAAATCATTTTGAATTTTTTTTTTACCTATAGCATAGTGTGTATAAATTCAATAGATGTGTATAGTATCATGTAAATAATTTCAACACAGTTGATAGCTATTGATTGACATGCACACACTTAAAGGTTATCTTTTCCCTTTTGACACTTCCACATTTGGTGCTATGAGCTTGTCAGAAGCAGGCCTCTAATAGTTCTCTAAGACTTTCTGTTACCTGCAGATATGGATGCGATGCAGTACAATTCAGGATGTAGTTTTTAAAAATGCTTGCAGACTTCATTTTTGATACTTTCCTTAAATTTTATATTGATGCAATATTAATATATACATAATATTAATAAATTGCATTTTAGGAGGCAGCTGAAAGTATTTTCCATATATAGGAATCTGTCCATAAATAAAAGTAACTTGTCTTGGTTTCTGCTCTTTGTTTTTATTCTTCAAAACAAAATAAAATTAAATTTAACGTAAACGTGATTTTTCCTTGTATCACTGGCACTATAATTGTCTATTTGAATGTAAAGCTTTTCCTGAATAGTATATCTATATGAATAATTATAAATTTTGTTTAAGAATTTTAGAAAGTCATAAATGACATTTCAAGTTGTTCAGTTATGAGAAGCTACAACTTCGTATAAAGATCTTAAGTGACGTGGAGAAGACCAGTAGATTTAACACAGTAAGTTTCTATTGTCTGGATATTTTGGGGGGAGTGAACGGAAGTCACAGAATTGAAGTAAATTTGATTTAATAAAACAGTAGAATGCCAATACAGGTGAGGCCTCTCTCTCTCTCTCTCTCTCTCTCTCTCTCT